CGTAATTGAATGGTTAGCCCAGGCCAGGGCCCCTGAACTCCGCTATGGACAACCCCGGACATACTCTCACCCTCTGTCACCAGGAGCTGCAGGGTTCCTTGGATGTCCTGGAGACTCTGCTCAAAATGATTCACCACAGGGACTTCCCTGGCGGTCCAGTGGTTAAGACTCTGCACTTCCATTGCTGGGGGCGTGCGTTCGATCCCTGGTGAGGGAAGTAAGAACCCAGGTGCCACTGCGGTGGAGCCAAAACAAAAAAAAAAGATTCAGGACTTCATGAATTCTTTTGATACCAAACGTTTAAGGCCTACTCGGTGCCAGGGGTCAGCTCTGCCTTCGGGAGCGCCTGGATTGGGAGGTGTGCAGGGAAGCCCACCTCGGAAGGCTCTCCGGGGTGGGTACATTCTGGGCGCAGCCCAACAGGGCAGGCAGAAATGGGAGGTGTCAAAGTCCAAGCACCGGCCAGGGGCCCCGAAGTGCAAATGTGCTGCAAGGTGAATATCCATCGGTCGGTAAACACAATTACATTCAGATGACGTTGAGTTGGGGTGCATTAGCAAAAGCGAAACTGCCTGAGAGCTGCGCTCGGAACGCACGCCTCCTCGTGAACCCCGCGCCGCGCTGCCCAGGGGCGTCTCCAGCCTCCCCCGCCCCCGCTCCCGGAGCCACCTGTTGCCCGCCAGCCGGATGGAGCCCGAGCGCCGCCTCCTGGCCACGCTGCGCAGTGGCAACCCGGGCGCGGGTCCGCGGGTCCCAGCGAGGCCAGATCTTCCCCTGAAGGCGGGGTCTCCAGGGACAGCTCCCGGTGGGAACCTAACCCCGGCAGCTGACAACCCTGGGGACCGGTCGGTCCTAGGGCTGGATTTGGCCCACGCCCTCAGGCCAGTGTGGCGCACGGGGGCCCTCCTGCCCCTCGGGAGCTGACCCTGCGGTCCTGCGCGCCCCCGCGGGACAGCCCGCTCCTCGCCAGTGTCTTTCAGGTGGCGGACGGAGGGAGGAGCCTGTCGGGGTCCGGGCCGGGGCGGTGGAGGGGAGAAGGAGTGGGTGGAGCCTAAGGCGAGGCGGTTCGTGCGCCATCCCTCGCCCGCCGCCTGCCCCAGCTCACCTCTGGTCCAGGGACATGATGGGCACGCCTGGCGCCGCTGCCACCCGGAACGGCGAGGCCCCCGAGCGCTCCCCACCCTGCAGTCCGCGCTACGATCTTATGGGCAAGGTGGGTGGGCACTGCACCCAGCGCTGGGGACTCGGTGCCGGCTCTGGGGGTCACCCCTCCCCGCGCTCTTCGCCCTGAGACCCCGGCCTCCCCGCCCAAGACCCTTTCTGGCTGCGTCTGCGTTGGACTCATCCCTTCCCCCCAGGCAGCCGGGTCTCCCAGAATAAGGAAGGAGGGTCGAGACAGAGCCCTGGGCCCATGCCAGCGTCCAGGGATCTGGGCTGGCTCCGTGGGAGAAGGGAGAGGAAGATCGGAAGGAGCGAGTGACTCCCCACCCAGAGGACCCCAACCCCATTTTCTTCTGCCACACTCCGGCCAATACGAGCCCCAGGAATCCCATGCTTCTAGGTAGGGTTTGAGCGCACAGCCCTCCAGGGTACAGGCACCCGAAGCGCTGGGAAATAGGGCTGCCTGGCGACTCGGAAAGGACGCCCCCTGGCGGCGGGGAAACTTGCAGTTAATGCCCTTCTCCCAGTTAACCAGGCCTTAGGACTGAAGATCTTTAGGACCCCAGCTGCCCCCAGGCGCTACCCCTTCCCTTTCCACCCCTGCAGTCACTGCCCACACCTTCTTCTGGGAGGATGTTGCTAGCCAGAATGCAGACCCACATGGGAATTTTTAGAACGTGAGAAAGACCTGGGGCGTTAGGCACAAGTCTCCCACCTGGGAGAGCTTAAGTCAGCTGTCTGGGGCTGGTTCCCTCTGCGGGTGGCCCTGAACGGAAGCAGGTGGGGCTGGTGGTGGACACTGGTCTGTCTGCCCTCCCTTCATGCCCTTGGAGCAGGCAGGTACCAGGAACTCTGAAAGAGGTGCTGAGAGAGCCCAGAGCCTCCACTCTTCCTCTGTAGGGTTGGGGATAGATTAGCGAAGGGGCCGCGCATCTCATGCTACATGGCCTTGAAGGAGACCTGCCTCTTTCTGCGCCTTGGATTCCTCCTGCAACCCCCCTTGTTTCAGAGGAAGCTACTCTGCAAGTCACCCACCCAGAGCCGTTGCGATAAGCGTCCTCTGTGGGCTCCAGGCAGGAAGTCGGCCCCCACTGTGTTCAGGGGAGGGGAGCTCCTGAGGGCCAGCCCCAGGCCGCTGGGAACTGCCTGACCTCCTTGCCTGACACGCCAGCTGGGTGTTTGCCTAGGAGGTGGCAAGGCTGGGCAGCTGTTTGGTGGACTTGCCTGGCTGGGTGGGTGGCATCATTTGCTCAAGGCAACCGTCAACTGTAAAGTACACAGGTGCTTGCCCTACCTCCCTCTCTCCCTCCTTCCCCATCGGGTACTGGGACCCAGGAGCCAGGGAGCAATGCAGGCTCCAGAAGGCTCCTTAGCCCCCAGCCTGCCATTTGTCCCCTGGGCCAAGCGGCATTTGTGGAGAGTTGGCCTCTGGCCCCCACCAGCCTTCGTGCCCGAGGCCTGCCTAGGAGACTGAGTCCGGGATGGTCTGGGAAGAGCCTGGTGGGAGCTCCTTGGGGAGGATTAGAGGGGATGGGGCCACAGGCAGGCAGCACCCACCCCGGGCCACTCTTCTGGAGTCAGGTGGTTCATGCCAACATTGTTGACCCTAGACATTAACGGAGTCTAGTAAGGCCTCAAAGAAATTATCCCTCATTCCTTCTAACCACTATGGAAACTGCCACAGAAGGGTTAAGAAATCTTCCCGAAGTCCCCCAGTAACCCGTGTACAAGCCAGGACCCCAGCCTTCATACACCTTTGGTTCAGCCCCCCACCTCTCCACCAAAGTTAGCTAATCCCATACCCCATGCCCACAGCAGGAAAGCCCTTGGGCTCCACTGTCAAGGTCAGAGCCTCAAAAATAACTCAAACCTAGTCCCTGCTCAGCCCATTAAGTATCGACTCGGCCTGTTGGGAAAGTTCCAGCATTAGGTCTGGACCTCTGTTCTCCAAGATTGAGGAGTGACTAGACAGAGGGGTCCCCTCCCCCGCCCATGGTCCCCAGAGAAGATGAGCAGAGACTGGACAGACAGGAAAGGGACAAACATACCCCCACACACACTCCCTCCTGCTCTGCCACCTACAGTGACCAGGGATGCCAATTGTCAGCCATTTGTCCCACGTGGGAGGTTTCTGCGGAACGAACTTCAGACTAAATGTCTCTCCGCTTCAGTATAAATTTCAACCTTCCCTAATTCATGCAACGCTTTTATAAACATAAAATGTCATTAGGAACTTCCAAATAAATGTAACCAAAAGTAAAACACCGGAACAAAAGTAAGTTTAGAATATGGCCTTGCAAATGACAGAGCCGTGCCCCCATCAGATTCTGATACACTCCCTTGGGTGGGAATCCCTGTCCGAGGTATTAACACTTCTCTTTCTGGCACCATAGCCCCACCCACGTGTGCACACATGCGTGGAACACACACAGAGAGGGAAGGGATCCTAGCACGGTGCAGAGTCGAGACCACATGAATGTGGTTGTTCTCTGGGGCCACCGAGCACGTTTGAGGTCCTGTTGGTGCTAAGTTGGCAACTCAGGCTTCCAGGAAACCAGATGAGGACAGGAGGGTCAGAGGGAGAGCCTGAGAGGCAGCCGGAGCCAGGGAGTGTGGAGAGGAGAGGCAGGGTGAAGGCAGCAGCAGGCTTTTCCAGAAGCAGGTGCCCTCGGGGCAGTGGGCATCCTTCCCTGGCTCTCCCTGGAAGCCCAGCTAACTGCCTCTGCCCCCATCTCCTAGGTGATGCTTCTGGGAGACTCAGGCGTCGGCAAAACCTGTTTCCTGATCCAATTCAAAGATGGGGCCTTCCTGTCCGGGACCTTCATAGCCACTGTCGGCATAGACTTCAGGGTGAGGTGGCTGCAGGCTCCTCCTCCAGCAGCGAGCCAGGGGCTATGGCTCAGGCACGGGGGACGGTCCTCTCCTCACCTGCGCTGGCTTCTCAGGACTGCTGTGGCTCACCCTAGGGCACACGATGCTCCCCTAGGGACCCCAGAGGTGGCCAGCTTAGAGGAGTCTGGGCTTGGGGAGGCTCTTGGCTCCCCTACAGGATGAGAAATGAGAGACTGAGTCTTAAAATCCTGCCCCCAGCCGGGCCGACATATCCCACAGTGCTAGCTGGGCCCCCCGGCAAGACCTGAGGTCAGCCAGTCTTTCTGGAGTCCCGGGAAGCCCAGCACGGCACCAGGTGGAGGAACTGGGCTGGCCCTGTGGGGAGAGAGCAGCTTGACAGCATCCCTCCCTCTCACCTCGATGAACCCATCTTTACAAATCGGCATCCCGGATGCCGAGGGCTCTGAGCACTGCACACGCGCACGGGCCAGGAGAGTGAGGGTCTAACCCTGGCAGGGGTGCTCTCAAAGGCCAGGTGCCTCCCTCCCAGTGCGAGGGGAAGCTTCACTGAGGAGAACTAGTGGACAGCCAGGGGAAAGACGGCCCTGCAGATCCAGCCTCTGCGATCCCCGAGATGCCGGTGGGCGTCTCATCTCTAAGAGCTTGGAGGCTGGGCTCCGCCTGTGCACCTTGCTGAGCCCGGGCCGGGGCGAGAGGAGGGGTGCGGTCAGGCAGGTTCTCAGGCTCTCCCTGCCTTGGCGTGTTGTGAGAAGGGCAGACGGAGTCCCCAGAAGAGAGGACTCCAAAGTAGGGGTACCTGGGGACAGAGTCCCACTGCCCTGATGGGGCGATCTGGCTGGAGACGTCTCCGGGGCTCACCGGACCCCCGTGGCCCTGGGGAGCAACCAGACAGGATGTTTGCTGTACTGTAGGATTCAGCAGAAGGCAGAAACTGAGACTCCCCTGCCCTCCACGCCCACCTCTCCCTCTGCCCTTTTCTCTTTCAGAACAAGGTGGTGACCGTGGATGGTACGAGGGTGAAGCTACAGGTGAGAGCAGCGGCTGGGAGGGCTGGGGTGTGGGCGAGAGGATGGGGGAGCCTGCCCAGCCTCCGCACCCAACCACAGGAGGCCTGCGGCCCTGCGCTCAGCCTGGCCTAACTTCCTGTGGGGGTCAGGAGAGGAAACGGCCTTTGTTTGTTTGATGTCTGCAGAAAAAGCCGTTCCCAGGCACCCTCCCTTCTGTCAAAGGCAGCAGCTCTAAGTGCCTTCAGACAAGCTTAGGCTCGCTCCAAATCATCCCCAGTTTCCCAGGCCTCATCTGCTCTAGGAGGTTGGACACCTCTAATCCCTGGGCTGGGCAAGAGGCAACAGCACCGAACGAGCTTGAGAACTCATTAACTACCGCCATCCGGGACATCACCAGATGTTCACAAGCCCATGAGAAACTAAAGAAGGAAACATCTCACCTCCCCGCCCATCTCTCGTACCACAACATGGCTTTCCTCTGCCCAGCACAGTCCCTGCCCCCTTCTGACCATTTGTCCATCCCTTCCTAGATCTGGGACACCGCAGGGCAGGAGCGGTTCCGCAGTGTCACCCACGCTTATTACCGAGATGCCCAGGGTAGGTCCCTCACGTGCTCCACCTCCACCACCCCCCCAGCCCACTTGTAACATCCACCCTTCTGCCCCAAGTTCCCCATGTGACCTCTCTCTCCCCCTCCAGCCTTGCTCCTGCTGTATGACATCACCAACAAATCTTCCTTCGACAACATCCGGGTAGGTCCTCCCCACCCACCACTCACGAGCAGGCAGGGCAGGGCCTGTGCAGGCCAGGGCTGCTTCCTGCTTTGTGGGAATGGGTGGAGCATGGAATACTGCTGCCTCGTTAAAAACACCGGAGCTGTGACTCAGAAGTAATAAACTACTCCTGGGTAGTTGATGGGCATGTGGGCATAAAGGCCAAGCAGGCTGTGTGCCACCTGCTCATCCCTGACTATGATTCATGGAGCATTTCATGACAAAATGTTCAGAAAGTGCCCAGCTCCACCCTGGACAATTACCCACAGAGACCAAGAGGAGAGCCCAAGCAGAAAAGTCTACCCATACATCCACCCCAACTTTCAAGAAGGTGACTCAGGCAGACAAAGTGAGTGGCTCCCTCCTCACAAGCAAACTATTAAATAGTCGAGACAGTAATTCAACAAACACTGACTCTGTGCACAGCATCGTGACGATTTCACATGCTCCCTGACCTCAAGGGGTTGACAAGCAAACTGGGGGAACAAGACATACAGATATAAAACTGCTTATAAACTGGATGGAATCCATGGCACTCCTACTGCCACCTCCAACCCCATGCTCATGGCAGACATCACTAATCAATCACAGTGTTTTTGATCACTGAGCCCTTATGGGGCCTTAGAATCCTCAACAGGGCACTCGAGGAGACTGCTGGTGACTACCAGCTGATTTATAAGATAAAGCCTCTGTCACCTCTGTCTTTCATAGAACTGAGAGCTACACTGCAAGGGGTTTAGAGCTACTCAGGACTGGAGAGGCCCAAACAAAGATGTAGATGAGAGAATGCACAGGGCATTATGATCGGTGTTCAGGGGCAGTGAGTAGTCCAGGATAATCCACAGGGCAGACGAAGGAAAGGCAGGAGGGAGGAGGGGAATGGCTGGGGCTCAGCGCACCCTCTCCCACAGGCCTGGCTCACTGAGATTCACGAGTACGCCCAGAGGGATGTGGTGATCATGCTCCTAGGCAACAAGGTGAGTGGCTCCAGGGCAGGGTCAGCCCACCCTTCTCCCGCTGCCACAAGTATTAGCTGGACATCCTTCCAGCAAAGCACTCTTTACAGCCTCCAGTTCAGGAGTCAGACCTATCTGGAGGCTTCAGTCCATCATATCTGCCCTCTTAAAGCTTTGGAAATGGCCCCCTGCAGGGAAAGGTCAAGCTGCTTCCTGAGAGATCCAGGGATGACCAGCTGCTCAGCCCCTATTAGATCCTAGGGACTAGATACACGGATTAAGAGCTGTGTGTGGAAAGGGTTAACCTCAAATACTGTCAGCCCTTCGACGCTGGCCACCACCCCCTTGCCAAGCAGAGTTACCCACCTCCCTGAGTTGGGGTGAGATCCCCCTGCTGGGAGCTGGGTAAGAACTTGAAGAAGGCAGAAGCCCTGGCCCCAGGTGGATAATACCACCCGCAGTCCCGCAGGCTACCAGCAGAGGGCGGGAAGTGCCTGCTCCCAGGGCAGAAAGCTGGGCCAGCGGGGCAGGAGAGGGGCCATCTGGGGTCAAGGCTTCCTTCCCCAGAGTGACCCACCTGGGCTTGACAGGCGGATGTGAGCAGTGAAAGGATGATCCGTTCAGAGGATGGAGAGATGCTGGCCAGGGTAAGTGACTGCCTGGGGGGAGTGGGGGTGGGCGGCCGGAGACTGGCCACTGAGGATAATCTCACCCTGGCAGGAGTATGGCGTTCCCTTCATGGAGACCAGCGCCAAGACGGGCATGAACGTGGAGTTAGCCTTTCTGGCCATTGCCAAGTGAGCGCTGAGCCGGGAAGGGAACGTGCAGGGCAGGGTGGCACCATCTGGGAATTCAGTAGGGCCTGGCCCTTGGCATTCAGAGGGCCCCCGGCCCCGGGCCGTGGGAGTGGGAGAAGGCTCAGTTCCTCACTGCCTGGCCAGGCCATTTCTTCTTCCTCTTCAAGGGAGCTGAAATACAGAGCCGGTCGGCAGGCCAATGAACCCAGCTTCCAGATCCGAGACTATGTGGAATCCCAGAAGAAGCGGCCCAGCTGCTGCTCTTTCTTGTGAATCCCAAGGGGCTGAGAGGAAGCTCCAGAGACGCACAAGGATGCAGCCTTCTCCCTCAGACCTGGTTTATTCTAAGCGGCTGAGCCAATGAGGAGAGAGTTGGGGGACCCAGTGCACAGCCCCTCCGTACTCCTGCCCCTATTCTAGCTCCTGTAGCTTCCCTGCATCCCCGGAGGAGGGTAAAATATTTTTATTTCATTTTAATGATACATAATCTAATCAAAAGGACACCAGAAAACGGAGGAAGGGAGCTGGTGCCCCTTTTGCCTTCTAGTGCTAGGACTCAGGGGCCTGGGCCTCCCACCTACCCACCATGAGGGTGATATTGCACCAGCTCAGCACCAGGGGGCACTGATGCACTTCTGGGGTATGAGGCAGGTAGTGACCCCCATTCCCACCCTTCAGCTGGCAAGAGGCTGAGCAGACCCAGGCCTTCATTTCCTCCGGCTCCCCAGAGAACAATCTTCCCCAATAAGACAGGGCCCTTGTGCCGGGAGCTAGACCAAAGCCTCAGGAAGATAAGAGATGTGGAGATTGGGCAGGGACCCAGCTCCCTGGGGGGAGGGGGGTAGAGGAGTAACAGAGATTAGGTCTGTTAGGCTACCTCTGGCCTTACTAGCCCCTCTCTGGGAGGTGCACCCCATTTCCCCCAGCCCACAAGCACATTAGGGCACCTGGAAACATCTGGTTCCTATTCACTGGACCTCAGATCCCAGGGGAGCCCCTCCTCCCTGAATCCCTGGCCTTATCTTCCTACCTTTCTGCCTGTGTCCCCAGACACCTACAGTTACTGATAGGGAAAGGTTATTCTTCTGTTCCAATCCTTTGGCAGGTATGCAGCCCACAGGCTACTTCTTCAAGCAGCTGTAGTGCTTCCATTGGATAAAGAGCCAGATAAAAAGAAAGCCCTGACTCCTGGAGTAGGTGGGAGGTAGAAGTGAGCAAACCTCACCCCATTGTGTAACCCCTAAACCCAAGGGCCATCTCCTCCCCCATCAGCCACATCCTTTTCTTCTCAGACGGACATTCGGGCCCAAACTGCTTTATCTCCCTTCGTACTGAGCCAGGTTAGGGAGTGAGAGGTCATCCATTTCTGGGAAAATCAACGCATTGTATGCAAAACAAGGTCATGTGGGTGAGGCTTGGGGTGGGGAGACGGGCAGCAAGGAGTTTACATGCTAAAGGAGTTTACATGGGGCCAAGGTCACATGTCTCCCAAAGCCCTGACCCCAACAATGGGAAGAGGGCAGGAGACGTGCAGCTTATGACCTAGAGGCACCTTTACTCCAGCTCTGTTCACCAGGGGTGGGGAGAGGGGTGAGAAAGGTATGCACTGTACATTTCTGCAGCTGCTGCATTTGCTTTCAAGGCAGAAATCTTGCTCCCAGAGCAGAGTCAGCACGATAAGGAAGCTCTCCAGGCCTCTCCCGGGCAGAGCAGGGAGGAGCCTGACCTTGCCGGGTTCTTCTGGGGCCCAAGGCAGGTCGCAGGCAATCCAATCACATGGGCTGCTCTGGGCCTTTAGCATTTGTGTTTTTCAGAAGTAAATGGCAGTATTTTGGAAAGTACTCCCTGTCCATTGCTTCTTTGAGGTGCACATGATGCGGGGTCGGGGGGGGGGTTGCGGGGGCGGATCATGTTGAAAAGATTGTCGTTGCTTGTCACTGACTGCCAAAATCATTTGCTTCTCATCCTTCAATGTCCCCAACTAGTCACCTCACTCCTAACAGACTGCCCCCAGCCTCTGTGACCAGCCTGTCATCTGAAAGTAGGAACTGAAAGGTTTATCTTACGGTCCTAATCATTTTTCCTTCTCTATTGAAAAAAGCCAGGGCTCCTTTCCCTATGGAATGTACCCAGAGATTGGTTACCTGACTCTGATCTGCCTCTCCCCAACCCCACCTCCCTAGCCAAAGGCTGACGCCAATTCCCACGCCATTGTCCCTAGGTGGCCTGTCTTGGATGGGCAGCCCCGTGAAGCCTTGGGCTCTCTGCTGGACCCTCACACTGTCCCAGCGAGGATCAGAGCCCGCACCCCTATTAGCAGTTCCTGGGACAAAGCAAAGTGGCCCCACAAATGGAAAAATCTCGTTATTCAAACTACTCTGTTGGGTCCGAGGTGGACCTCGTTCTTATTCGTAAGACCGCTCGCAGCACTGGAGCGGCATTGATTTTCCTGGCAACAGTCGCCCCCACCCCCACCCCCAACTGGAGTTGCACACTTTGGCTGAAGGCTGTTGAAATGTTAGGGTCTTTTACCCGAGGGTTGGCTCTCAATCCCCGAGGCAGGTGGAGGGAAATCAGAAAAGATCCTGCGGGCCGCTCTGCCCAGTACCAGGAACTCGCCCCTGCCCCGGCCCTCCCCCTCCCCCCCACCCCCGGGCCTCAGCCAGCCACTTGGTAACAGACACTTCCACTTCCTGAGCCCTCTTTCTTCTCCCGCCGCGGGGCGCCGCGCTGAGAGCAGAAACTCACCCCTGCGCGCTCCCATTGGCCGGTGTCATTCACCGTGCCAGAGCGCCCCCTCTCCGTGGTGTCTGATTGGCCCTCGGTGGTCCACACCCTCCACGCGGCCCCGCCCCCCGGAATAAGCAGCCTGGGCGGGCTCTGGAACGCTCAGACTCCGCGCACGGCGGGGATTGGTCCGTGAGCTTCAGCTTCGGCTCCTCGCAGTTCGCGTCCGCCGCTCCCAGGACACCTGCTCGCTCTGCCAGTCCGGCGGCGTGGGCTTTCCCTGCCGCCCTCGCTCTCGTCTCCCGGCCCGCAGGGTGAGAAGAAGGGGTGGACCGTCCCGTCTCCGGACCCCGACCGGACGCCGCTGAGCCGTTGCAGGGCGAGATGAGCACGGACGCGGCGGCCGGGGCGCCTCTACCCCGGCTCTGCTGCCTGGAGAAGGGTCCGAACGGCTACGGCTTCCACCTGCACGGGGAAAAGGGCAAGGTAGGCCAGTTCATCCGGCTGGTGGAGCCCGGCTCGCCGGCCGAGAAGTCGGGACTGCTGGCCGGAGACCGGCTAGTGGAGGTGAATGGCGAGAACGTGGAGAAAGAGACCCACCAGCAGGTGGTGAGCCGCATCCGTGCCGCACTCAACTCCGTGCGCCTGCTGGTGGTCGACCCCGAGACCGACGAGCGGCTGCAGAAGTTGGGCGTCCAGGTCCGGGAGGAGATGCTGCGCCCCCAGGAAGGATCCGGGCAGGCCGAGCCGCCGGCCGTCGCCGAGGAGCAGGGGGCTGGCGGCGAAAATGAGCCGCCCGCCGCCGCGCCGGAGCCGCACGAGGCCGAGAAGAGCCATCAGGAGCGGGTAAGTGCGGGCCCGGGCCGGACGGCGAGGCTGGAACCGGGTGGGAGGGAGAGTAGTCCAGAGACCCAGGCGCCCCGGACGCCCAGCCCTGCTGCCGCCTTGTCTTTCTGAAACTGGATCCTCACGGGGGAGACTGCTTCCGCCCGCCAACCGGGCGAACTGGCAGTTACAGCCTTGAGGCTGCGTCCCGCGACCCCTACTCCCTCTCCCCAGACTGGGCTGGGACCCTGAGCGCCTTTGGGAGTGAGGGTGAGGGCGAGCGGCTCCAGGGAGTCCAGTCCCCTTTTCCTCGACTCTGTCGGTGGTGTCTGCTCCGGTCCCTTGGGACTCCCAATCCCGCCCCTCCTGGTGCAAGTGACCAGCTTTCTCCACGGCCCCTGGGGGTGGTAAATGAAGCTGGGGTGAGGCTAGAGCGGCCCCGACTTCAAAAACCTAGAGCAATAACTACGCTCTTTCTGTGTGGAGCTGCAGCGCTGGGAGGGGAGGGGAGGGGGTCACACGCTGGGTTCTCAGGCACTTCCCCCCTTCCCCACAGCCCGCTGGCTGGCGTGTGTATCATTAACTTCAGCCTGGCTGGACTTCATCCTCCTTAAGTCCGGTGTGACTTCTAAGAAAGAAGCTCCACCGTCCCAAGGCGATGTATGGGGGTGGGGCTCAGGGAGGAGGCGCAGAGGCGTCTGGTCTGGGGGATGGTGGCAGCTCTGCCACCCAGGGGGATTTATGATTCTCAGGAATGTGAGGAGTAAGCGCTGGCTGGTATCTGGGAGCGGGAGGGAAGACCTTGGAGGAGGAGAAACGGCGGCGGGAGTGGTCCAGCGTTCCTGGGCTGGACAGCGGACAGCAGGTGGTCTTGCCCTGGCATCAGCTGTCTCACTCCAGTCCCTGGACAGCAAGCAGACTGGTTGCTTTCTAACCACGTTTGGTGTTTCCTCTCATGACCCCAGTTTGGATCGGCCGTAGGAGGGGCGGAGGCAAAAGGGAAGTTGTATTGAGCCTGCTGTTCCCCGGAGAGTGAAGGGGGGGCCTCAGGGTGGGGTTGTGGGGAGCAGGACCAGGGCATCCCCTGGGCCCGTTTGGCTTCACCAGCTCTCCACCTGCTGGCAGGGGTGTCCGTGGTGCCAGTAGGAGCCTCCCTTGACAGAGAAAGGGCACAGTTCAGCCTTTTAGGGTAGTAAGTGGAGCCGGAGAGGGCCGGTTGGTTTGGTGGAGGTGAAGTCACCAGGAGCCCTGTCCAGCCAGAGCTGGGTGCCGAGAACGCCAGGGCCACCAGGCTCCTGCTTCCTGCCGCTAACAAGCTGGCATTGGCAAGGGTGGGGGTGGGGTCGGAGCACCCCTGGCAGGGGTTTGACACTGGGGAGTTGGGACCCATGACCTCTGGTCCCAGGCAGAAATCCAGTTTGAACTTTGTGCCGAGGGCATCGATTGACCATTCCTGTTTTGTTTTTGTTTTTTTGGACTTCGGCACTGGCACAAGTAACCGGCCTCCCCGCCCCGCCCCGCCCCTCTAGGTTGCAGTCATGTTTAGCTCCTCCTGGTGCCCTTTTGGTTTTGCTGCTGGGTGCAGGAGGGCCTGCGGGGAGCTGGGGGGCGCAGAGGCCAGGACGGAGGCTTGACCTAGCACGTGTGCTCCCCACCAGGCCACCTGAGAAGCAGCAGAGGTTGGCTTCTGCTCTCTGGGTGAGCGCAGGATGGGGTTGCCCCAGGTAGTGGCGTGACACCTGCATTTGTGTGTATGCTCTATTGGGCCCGTGGAAGGGAACAGAACCCTCCAGCCAGTCCCGGGGACACCATCACCAGGCCTCTTGGGGTTTCAGGTCAACGAGCAAATCAGAACTTCTCTGAGCCTTGGTTCTCCCATCAATAAAATGAGGGCGTTGGGTTCCAGTGACACCTGCCTTCTCTAGAATTTTACAACTAATGGAAAGTCCTTGAGCCCCTAGTGTGCTGGACTGAGCATCTTGTACGCCCAGGCATTTGAATCCCAGCTGTGAGCGGGGTGTCTCTTAGCCTCTGCATGGCCGCCGAGCAGCGTTAAGTCCTTCTGGTAGGAGGTTCCCATGAAATCTGGTACGGTGGGCCTGCAGATGACCCGCCCTGTCGTTGCAAAAAACGAAAAAAAAAAAGTTAACCGACGTCATAAGAGTTCATCGTTCCGCGAAAAGACAAGGGATGTCTATGTAAGGGATACACCCAGCGTTTGAATGTTACTGATCAGTTTGAGTCTGAATTCGTTTACGAAGTGGGGGCTGTTAATGACATCCCCGTTAGTTCTCAGAAGTGAAAAAGGCGTTAGTGGGAAAGTGTCATGCAGAGTGGGTGGCGGGTGACATCTCACTGGGAAGAGCGGCCTGGGTCGAGAATGATGCAGGGCAGAGGGCGAGGGGTGCCCATAGTACTGATCTCGGAGGAGGTGGCGGGGTGCCTCCAACTCGGCACACCTCCGCCCACGGGGAGGGAGGAGCAGCAGCGTCCCTGCTCACGGCCCCCCGTCACAGGATGAGGCCTAAATCCTCGAGCTGGGCAGCCGGCACGGGGCCCACAGCGGGGGCTGGGCAGGCCTGAGCCAGCTCAGCTGCACTCGCTGGGCCACCGCGAGCGAGCCAAGTTTCTCTAAGCTTCCATTTCCTCTTGTGTAAATTGGGGGTGACAGCAGGGGCCTCGTGGCGTTGGCGGGGTTACATGAGGATGCCTGTCGAGCCAGTAGCTCAGAGCCTCCACTAAGTAAGTGCTCAGTGAACGTTGGTTGCTGAGATCTGAATTAATACATATTTCACAGTGATGACTACACGCCCACCCAGGGGGCAGCTAGCCCTGGATCTGCCTCTCCCATAGGGCACGTGCTGCCGTGGCCAAGCCTGGCATCCGAAAGCGCTCCATCTGGGGTCGCTGTCATTGAAGAATCAGCCCTTCACAATCTGGCAGCCTTCTCTCGCCACCGCGCCTCTTGTCCCCACCAGCCCACCAAACCACACCGAGGGTCCGAATCCCCTCCCAGCATGCCATGTGCTTTGAGCCTTCGCACCTGATATCTGCACGTGGGAACCCTCAGTCCCCTTCTGCGCCAAGCACGCTCCCCAACACTCACCTCCTAGGAAACCTTTCCTCGACCCCGCAGGCATCGTGAACTCTTTCCTCACCTTCTGCCCCCTGTCCTTCCACCTTTTCTCACACTGAACACGCAATATCTCAGTCATCTGTTCGTATCTCCTCCACCAGCCCGTGCTGGGTCCCAAGGGCAACAGCTGTGGCTTATTTATGTTTATATCCC